TACCTTAATTTGACAGAATAATGTCAATGCTGGATTTCCAACACAACTCTAATCAAAACAAGTCATTCACAAAAACTCTAATGTGCAATTATCAATTACATCAATTCATCAGTCTGTTGCCAAGTTCCTGCGAAATGGTCACAACATGAAATATTCTATGTATACACAAGGTATGTATTATATCCTGTAAGGGAAAGTAGGTTTTGTGGATAAGAACAGTACTGGCCTTTAATTGGACTTGATTGTTGTCGCTTGATGTACTGGTCAGCACCTCCTCTCTCTCTCTCTCTCTGTCTCCTCCTTCTCGTCTCCAAGAATTTAGTTTTTTATGCATACTTATGTTCACATTCACGCTAAGAAATAAGCAAACAGCTTAACTCATGAATATTACAATAGCACAATAACATTTTATTTTATTTATTTATTTAATTATTATTATTATTTTTAATCCGTCAATATATCTCTCATTCACCAACTCAACCGATATCAACCAAACAGTTTCACAGTCAAGCAACAGTTAATTCAACAAGCAGAACATTCCACTTGTGTGCAAGTTTCCCCCTCCCTCTTGGTCTGCTCTAAGACTGCGTCTCCCAGCAGTTCAGTGGAGGCAGGGGAGTGGCACATCTGTTGTACGTAACTCTAAACTCATAAAATCCCACGCGTGCGCAGTTCAGTCACCAATGCGATTTCAGAGTGAACAGAGCCCTCCTAAAAAGCTCTCTCTCCAAGCCAAACAACAGAGTAGACAGACCCGCTGTCGCTCCGTTCTCTCCTCCCATAGACAAACAATAACACTTAACAAAACTCACAAACGAACATGGAACACATAGAACATAGAACACAAATCCTACTTCCAAGTTTCTTATCTTCACTTATCCTAATCTGCAGATTTATAGTTATGTTGTTATCAATTACAAAACATCTCTATACACTTCTTAAAAAGTCCTCCCTGTAGGGTCATGCTATTCTAATAGTTAATGAACGTTCTCTTTTTATAGAGACTCATAAGGTTTTAACCTTAACTAACATATTTCCTTACAAAAGACTAAAACCCCTGTTGTCATAGCCTTAGTCGACACACAGCTGGAACTCATCAGATGTACAGACCTGCAGCGGCTCTCTCTGTCTCACACACACCGCAGGCTCCGTTCCTCTCATACACACGCGCATACACAGTTTAAACAAGAATGCATCCGTTCATACAATAAAATAAGCATGCTACCGCCGTTCCTATTTTCCTTTATATTCCTTCCTAAATTTCTGCTACCTCAGATTGTAGACATTCAATGAGAGGATGTGGTCCTCTGTAGCTCAGTTGGTAGAGCACGGCGCTTGTAATGCCAAGGTAGTGGGTTCGATCCCCGGGACCACCCATACACAAAAAAAAAATGTATGCACGCATGACTGTAAGTCGCTTTGGATAAAAGCGTCTGCTAAATGGCATATTATTATTATTATTATTATTAGGATTACTTCAGACAAATACTTTGTCAAATAGATTCTGAGAGGTAACATACAATTGAATATATCTTCTACAATCTGCAGTTCCCAGAACTGACCCGACAGTCAATCTAATGACTGTCATAGGATTTATGGCCCATCCTAAAGATCGCCTTGTTTCAAGGGCTTCCTTAAATTAACGGCGTCCTAAAAGTATACTTTTCCTTATTTCCTGGCCTTATTCCTTCATGCTTTTCCTGGACACTCTCTCACACTTTTTCCAAGCCAAAATATGTGTGCCCAGTGTCAATAATTTCTATAGACTCTCCCCCCTGTTTGCGTTGTTTCCAACGCAAACAAAGTTAGAAATTTAGAACGGACTCTCATCCCACAGCAAATAACAGCAAAGCGCACACACAAGTCCTTTGACGGTACATCTGAACAAACACAGACACAAGCACACGAACCGACCAGCGCCCAAAGAACTGTGAGAAATCTCACCTTATCTGCCGGCGTCTTGAGCGGGAGTCACTTCGTAGCCCATGAATGGAATGCTGAGAAAAGACGTAGCACGTCCCAAATCCTCGTCACCATTTATGTGGTGTCTCAAAATATGTTGCTAATTATGCTGTGATGATAAGAAGTCCGCTTACACTGTACTTTGATTATAAAGGTTTATTGTATCAAAGATCACAGTATCAATTTACAGACATCTGCAGATATCTGGAGAACAACGGCCCAATCTGTTAATATGTTGTTTCTCTCCTTCTTTGTTTAAGACATGGTATTTATATCCTATGTGACATAGTATGGTGTGATTTTAATAAACCAATCCCCGGCTTTCACATATCTCCAAATGTCCTCTATTCCAAGAAACCTATGTAGCAATGCTTTTCCAAATGCTTCAGCAAAGCAGAGTAAAGTTCATCTATTACACCAATTTGCAAACATCAGCAAAATCAATAGACCTTCAGACACTACACTTATAATGTGAAGAAATAGCCTAATATTTTATCAACATTTTAAGCTAAACGTTCTCATCTGTTGCGTCAGGCTCATTGCTTAAAACAGGTTTTAAGCAACACTCAACACAGAATAGCCGCCTGTGCGCACTCCCTCAAATTATTGAGAAAATATCCTTTCTATTTTATTCAGCTATGTTCAATTGTATTCTTCATACTATAAAATAATGCCACGGAATTCTAAGCAAATCTTGTCTGCTAAATGAACTAGTGTAGCCCACAGCCATATGGCATAGCCAGATCAGGGCCTAACAAAAGGACAACTCAGAGTATGCTATTCTGTTCTTCTGAAATAGACTACATTTTCTTCATATCATGTTTCTTTAGACCTATCTAAAATAAATAATGGATTTATTGTGATGGTGTAGGCTATATTACATGGATTTATTAGACTTTTTTAAATGTAGATGTTCCAAATATCTACATCAGTGGCTTGTAGGCTATGCGTGGAAGCCAGGAGATGCTAAATGTGTTTATGTTAATTAACGGTCAATTACCGTGAGACCGGCAGTTATTTGCTTGACAATCATGGCTACAGGCCTTCTAATGCGACTAGCCCCAATGCTCCTCCCTCTTTTTCCCCTGCCCCGCTACAAAGTTTCTCCCTGCAGGCAGTCACTGAGTCTGAGGTGCTAAAGGAGCTCCTTAAACTTGACCCTAAAAAACCATCCGGGTCAGATGGTTTAGATCCTTTCCTCTTTAAAGGTTGCAGCCCCTATCATCGCCAAGCCTGTCTCTGACCTTTTTAATCTGTCTCTCCTCTCTGGGGAGGTTCCCATTGCTTGGAAGGCATCCACGATGTGTCCTTTATTTAAAGGGCGAGATCAAGCTGATCCTAACTGTTATAGGCCAATTTCTATTTTGGTCTGTTTATCAAAGTGTTGGAAAAACTTGTCAATAATCAACTGACTGGCTTTCTTGATGTCTATAGTATTCTCTCTGGTTCTAGGCCCCACGCTCTTCTCAATTTACATCAACAACATAGCTCAGGAAGTAGGAAGCTCTCTCAGCCATTTATATGCAGATGATACAGTCTTATACTCAGCTGGCCCCACCCCGGATTTTGTGTTAAACGCTCTACAACAAAGCTTTCTTAGTGTCCAACAAGCTTTCTCTGCCCTTAACCTTGTTCTAAACACATCCAAAACAAAGGTCATGTGGTTTGATAAGAAGAATGCCCCTCTCCCCACCGGTGTGATTACTACCTCTGAGGGTTTAGAGCTTGAGGTAGTCACCTCAAACAAAGTACTCGGTACACTGTCCTTCTCTCAGCACATATCAAAGCTGCAGACTAAGGTTAAATCTAGACTTGGTTTCCTCTATCATAATCGCTCCTCTTTTTCACTGCAGCTGCCAAACTAACCCTGATTCAGATGACCATCCTACCCATGCTAGATTACGGAGACGTAATTTATAGATCGGCAGGTAATGGTGCTCTCGAGTGGCTAGATGTTCTTTACCATTCGGCCATCAGATTTGCCACCAATGCTCCTTATATGATACATCACTGCACTCTATACTCCTCTGTAAACTGGTAATCTCTGTATACCCATCGCAAGACCCACTGGTTGAAGATTATTTATAAAACCCTCTTAGACCTCACTCCCCCCTATCTGAGATGCATACTGCAGCCCTCATCCTCCACATACTACACCTGTTCTGCCAGTCACATTCTGTTAAAGGTCCCCAATGCACACACATCCCTGGGTTGCTCCACTTTTCAGTTCGCTGCAGCTAGTCACTGGAACGAGCTGCAAAAAACACTAAAACTGGACAGTTTTATCTCCATCTCTTCATTCAAAGACTCAATCATGGTCACTCTTAATGACAGTTGTGGCTGCTTCGCGTGATGTATTGTTGTCTCTACCTTCTTGCCTTTGTGCTGTTGTCTGTGCCCAATAATGTTTGTACCATGTTTTGTGCTGCTGCCATGTTGTGTTGCTGCCATGTTGTGTTGCAACCATGTTGTTGTCATGTGGTGTTGCTACCATGCTGTGTTGTCTTAGGTCTCTCTTTATGTAGTGTTGTGGTGTCTCTCTTGTCGTGATGTGTGTTTTGTCCTATATTTTCCCCAAAGGAGGCCTTTTGACTTTTGGTAGGCCGTCATTGTAAATAAGAATTTGTTCTTAACTGACTTGCCCAGTTAAATAAAGTTTAAATAAATAAAAAATCATGGGCTGACAAAATGTAATGACCAAAATTTCATGACCACCACAGCCCTATCCTACACCTTTACACACTTTCATTTGGAGAGGTTTCTCAATTTAGGATTGGATCTAGAGCTTGTCTTCAGTTTGCAAGGTTTGCTTCTATTTTACAAGTAGAGTTTTTCCAATGTATCTATGTCAAAGGTTGTTAGGATAGGTATTCACAGGTAGATGGAATTAAATGGAAATAAAAGTATAGACAACATGCTTACTTGGTTTCGCTCTGAAGTAAAATGTTGAGTGTTGATCATATTCATACATCATTTTAATGTGGAATAGACATTGAATTGACATCTGAACAAGTCTGTCAGGGTAGTGGGTGCCCACGATGGACATTATGTTCATGAAGACCCAGAAGACTGCCAGCAGTACATTACTCAACATCCTCTTCCGCTTCAGTGACAAGCACGGTTTAAAATGGGCTTTTCCTGATTGGCTGCAATGACTTCTTCTACCTGTCCCCTTTCCTTTGCTCCCAGGTCCAAGACTACCAGCCTGGGGCATGTTTCAACATTGTATGTAACCACATGCGCTTTGATGGGCATGAGGTGGCAAAGCATCCTACGAGACCTGGCAGAGGGGTTTTAGTCATTCTTCCATTATTACTGCTTGCCGGTTCCCCTCACTCGGGGGATCTGCGGAGACGACAAACTGGCTGAGTTTCTGTGTGACCGCAGGACCTACTTCACCCCAGGGAACTACAACTCATTCTACATCATGAACGTGCTCTTCTTTGACTTTGGATATGAGCTGAGGGCCAAGGCCTGGAGTGGAATGGGGCTGACAGGAGGCTCTGCCAGCATTTTAACGCTACATTCTGGGCCAAGGTGGAGGCGTACAGGCAGACAGGGATTGGAGCAGGACGTGATGGAGCTGAGGAGGTGGAATGCAGAGATGGCTGCCATGTGCATTGAGGGTGAGAGTCAGAGCAGTGGAGGCTGGGATGATTCGGGACAGCGATCTGCTTCCCTGGCAGCCAGTTGGAGAGGACTCCATCCTGGGTTACAACTTTAGGAAAAATATTGACCCCAAATACAGGGAACTCTGTCGGAAAACGTTCACACCTGAAAAACAGTGCCTCAGAGCTAGGGGTCATCCTGTGGCTCACACGCTTATGGGGTTGCTTAAAGGATACTATATCTTAGCTACAAATGGACTCATGGAACAGCTTGGATTAAACAACTTGGCTGAGCACATAAAGATATGTTACTTACTCCTAATGCAATGTTGTCTTATTGCATTGATGTCTGAGACTGAAAGAGAAGATCATAACAGCCATGAGCTGATTACAGACATCTAAGATGTTTAATTTATTCTCAGAATTTTTGATATTTTGTCTAAATCAGAAAACTACTCTCAGAGCTTGACTCTCGAAGCCTGCATCAAATCCTTTATCCCCTCCTCTCATACTGAAGATGCCAAATGTATGTTATTCAGTAGATTAAGGCGTATAAATTTGTGTGCAAATCGTCATTCACAGTCGTAATGACGGTCGATGTTCATTAAAACAGTGCATGGTTCAAGTGCTTTGGTCGGATAATCCCTTTTTCTCGCAGTGACAGTTAGACATTGATCAGCATTACTTTCTAAATGAGTCACGCTTCCCCGAGCCACTGAGCCAGCCAGCGTACTAGCTAGCCTGCTGTAGTTAATGATGTAGAGATTCAGTGCTTTTTGCAATACACTATTTTATCCCACTAATGAGAGAAAGGATACAAAGCCCATGGAACTGTCTAATGAGGATACTTCTCAATGACAGACAGAAGTTCTGCACATATTGCAGAATCACACCGAGCCAGTGCTGAACTAGAGTAATTGAAAGTCAATCTGTCTGAAACATTTCCAATCTCACTGCAGCTGTTGATACTGATAGAACTGTGGCTGGAAGTGAGGTATAAAATCAAATTATGGGACATTTCCATTAGTGGTTTGGTTGTCATCATGATATCAGATGCTGTAAAAGGAGCAGTGTATTTGTTGGATGCTAGGGGGCAGTATAGCACCTTCATAACGAAGCCTCATAAACATCATACAGAATCTGTATCAGTCAAAAAAGTTCCAACTGCTTTATAGCATAATAAAACAATATACACAAATTGTAAAATGTAAGTTCATATTAGGGGTGGTGAAAATGTGCAAGCATGACATGCATGGTGAATCTCCAATAAAAGAGGTTCTCTCTCATCCCACTTATCAGCCTTGTCTCATACGCTAGATAACCCCCTGTCCCCTGTAGCTCAGTTGGTAGAGCATGGCGCTTGTAACGCCAGGGTTGTGGGTTCGTTTCAAAGGGGGGCCAGTATGAAAATGTATGCACTCACTAACTGTAAGTTGCTCTGGATAAGAGCGTCTGCTAAATGACAAAAAAAAAACTAGATGTAACATAGTAAATGTCAATCCGGGACACTCAAATTAGTATGATATGTTACGTTTGGTATGGTTACATAAGTCAGATGGTTACTTAAGGCAGAAACGGAAGTAGGGTGGATGGGTAGGCTTATAACGCGAACGTCTAGCAACTCAAAGTTTGCGAATTCAAATCTCATCATGGACAACTTATCTGTACATCAAACCCACTGGTGCAGTGTAATAATCCTAAAGGAATAGTCTGAAAAAATTCAATGGAATGTTGTGAAGGGCAGTAGACCCTGGCCTCTGTAGTGAGACTCCATCTCCTGGAATCTATAGTATTGCCACAAGGAAGTTGGAAGAAGAGAACCCATTTCGTGAGCTGGTTACCATGGAAACTTGCACAGTGGCCAGCCCAGCATAGTTATTTTATGATCAAAATGTATATTGCTGGTAAACTGGGATTCATACATGCTCAAAACACAGACAAGATAATAATCATGCCTGCATGGGTGTGCATTAACCCATTCAGCCATGAAGCAGCTGTGTCTAAATGACCACGGTGGGCAATGAGCGATAGTAAGGTGCTTCTATACATAGCCAATACAAAAGAGGTCACTAAAGACCTATTCAAAGGGACATTAAATTTACAGTTGAAGTTGGAAGTTTACATGCACTTAAGTTGGAGTCATTAAAACCTGTTCTTCAACAACCCAACAAATGTCTTGTTAACAAACTATAGTTTTGGCAAGTCGGTTAGGACATCTACTTTGTGCATGACACAAGTAATTTTTCCAACAATTGTTTACAGACAGATTATCTCACTTATAATTCACTGTATCACAATTCCAGTGGGTCAGAAGTTTACATACACTAAGTTGACTGTGCCTTAAAACAGCTTGGAAAATTCCAGAAAATGATGTCATGGCTTTAGAAGCTTCTGAAAGGCTAATTGACATCATTTGAGTCAATTGGAGGTGTACCTGTGGATGTATTTCAAGGCCTACCTTCAAACTCAGTGCCTCTTTGCTTGACATCATGGGGAAATCAAAATAAATCAGCCAAGACCTCAGAAAAACAATTGTAGACCTCCACAACTCTGGTTCATCCTTGGGAGCAATTTCAAAACGCCTGAAGGTACCACGTTCATCTGTACAAACAATAGTACGCAAGTATAAACACCATGGGACCACGTAGCCGTCATACCGCTCAGGAAGGAGACGCGTTCTGTCTCCTAGAGATGAACGTACTTTGGTGCGAAAAGTGCAAATCAATCCCAGAACAACAGCAAAGGACCTTGTGAAGATGCTGGAGGAAACAGGTACAAAAGTATCTATATCCACAGTAAAACGAGTCCTATATCGACAAAACCTGAAAGGCCGCTCAGCAAGGAAGAAGCCACTGCTCCAAAACCGCCATAAAAAAGTCAGACTACGGTTTGCAACTGCACATGGGGACAAAGATCGTACTTTTTGAGAAATGTCCTCTGGTCTGATGAAACAAAAAATAACTGTTTGGCCATAATGACCATCGTTATTTTTTGAGGAAAAAGGGGGTTGCTTGCAAGCCGAAGAACACCATCCCAACCATGAGGGACGGGGGTGGCAGCATCATGCTGTGGGGGTGCTTTGCTGCAGGAGGGACTGGTGCACTTCACAAAATAGATGGCATTATGAGGAAGGAAAATGATGTGGATATATTGAAGCAACATCTCAAGACATCAGTCAGGAAGTTAAAGCTTGGTCACAAATGGGTCTTCCAAATGGACAATGACCCCAAGCATACTTCCAAAGTTGTGGCAAAATGGCTTAAGGACAACAAAGTCAAGGTATTGGAGTGGCCATCACAAAGCCCTGACCTCAATCCTATAGAAAATGTGTGGGCAGAACTGAAAAAGTGTGTGCGAGCAAGGAGGCCTACAAACCTGACTCAGTTACACCAGCTCTGTCAGGAGGAATGGGCCACAATTCACCCAATTTATTATGGGAAGCTTGTGGAAGGCTACCTGAAACGTTTGACCCAAGTTAAACAATTTAAAGGCAATGCTACCAAATACTAATTGAGTGTATGTAAACTTCTGACCAACTGGGACTGTGATGAAAGAAATAAAAGCTTAAATAAATCATTCTCTCTACTATTATTCTGACATTTCACATTCTTAAAATAAAGTGGTGATCCTAACTGACCTAAGACAGGGAATATTTACTAGGATTAAATGTCAGGAATTGTGAAAAAACGAGTTTAAATGTATTTGGCTAAGGTGTATGTAAACTTCCGACTTCAACTGTGTGAAACAATTTTAAACAAATGAATGACCATGTATAATCGATTAGGATATAAATTAGAAAACAACATGGTCTGATAATGCTTTTATTTTGTTTGACATATAATTTGTGACCATAACATCTTAATAGTTAATACACTTTATATAGTGGATTATACATGAATTTGACTACATCTGTCACTGTCAGACATAGTGTGTGTGCCTCCACTCTTAACATGTTACCTGCTTCCACTCTTAACATGTTACCTGAACAAAGGCTGACCTCTGGCCAACTTCCTTTGTTGTTGCATTAAATCAGGAAGAAAACTACTGGAGGACATGGATCAACAGACAGCCCTGGATAGAAATTCCTAATTGCCCACATCGATCAGTTACGCACAACGCACAATTTGCTGCAAATGATCAAATCTAAAGGGGGACACCCAAATAATTGCACTCATTTTATATTTATTAAGAGTTATTTGTTTCAAATAAGTCTCTGTAGGTTCCTTTTCTGCCTGCATTCGTTGTGCATCAGAGTTTTTTTCCTGCAGGAAATCATCTTGATTCTTGGCTTTGCAACAAATTACTATTCCCATGTTTTTCCCTGGATGACATGACTCACGGATTCATTTTCTTTTGGTTAATAGATGCTCCTTATTAAAGAGCTGTGAAGCTGAACTTAGTGGATCAAGCTGGAGAGGCGGATAAAACATAATTTATGCATTCAGTGAGTTTTCAGGGTGAGGCTGTTAAGAGAGCGATTGCCCACAATGTTTACTCTCTCTAATATTCATCACTGCATTCTAGTGTCAGATATCACTCCTGCATCTCTGGGTTCAGATCTATTCCAGAACACTGGTACTCATATCAATTCTGTTTGCATTCATATCCCACCTCATTCCTGTATTCAAACCCATTCCCTCTAGTCTTTAGTGCTCATATCGATTCCCCTGCATTCATTTCTATTTATAAAATCTCTATGTCAATATCTATCTCTGTGTTATTGTGTGTATACTCCTTCACGTCCATGGACCTTGATATTCATATACCTCTATCTGTTTGAAGAGTGGAAGTTTTCTGCCCCCTACAGATGTCAAACACCATAAGCAAATCCCATTTTGTTTTGGCAGTTAGGTAAATATGAATCTTATCACGTCAGGGGAAACATATTCCACTCCTGACCTTCAGTTGGAACATGCAGGTAAAACAGAGCTGTTGATGGGTGGCTGTGATCCTTCGCTCAGAGAAGAGAGACAGGGAACGCATGCAGGTTGAGTGACACAGACAAGAAGATTCCCTGACAGAGTCCCTTTCAAGTCTGAGTAAATAACACCTGAAAAAATGTTATCAGCCAAGCCATAGTGAAATGTATGCTGATGCTAGGTGTTCACTGTAGAGATAGACTCTCATTGGCCAAAGATCAACAGTGTTGTGTTGATGAGGTGTTCACATAATTAAATAGAACACTATTAGTGTTATATTGTATCTCTGCAGGATTATTTTATTGGTGGTAATAAAGAAATCATGCTAGGGCTCCAAAGCAGCTTCATTGTCTTTGTTGGTTGGTGGAACTGCAGTTTAAGTGATTT